CTTGATAAAAGCCTCACAACGAGTTTTCCAAAATATTTAACTTTAACAAAGATAAAGGCTAATACCATATCTCTTTCTTGTACCCCACATTAATCCGCGAAAAGGAAACAAAAGATAAAGATTTAGGGTGCGTTTGGTAGAGAGATTCGTTCCCTGATTCGAATCATGATTCGTGATTCGCTACAGTATTTTTTCTCATAAAAAATACACGTAAATCGAAAATAGTTCGAATCACATGGTTTGAATCCTCCAACCAAACGAACTCTTAAAGAACAAGAAATACTAGAACCGTTCGTTATATATCACATTTCCCAATGTCATGCAACAAAAATGGATGAGTTATAATCTATGTTGCTATATTCTTTCAACAATACAAAAAGAATCTTGAAGATTTTTTAAAATTATATCCTATATGTTTTTTTTTTTTTTTTTTTTTTTTTTTTTTTTTTTTTTTCAAAATACCGCATTTGTCCTTTGTGTAATTGAAAATGGTCTAAATGACCTCTTATCCCATATCTGATCAATCAAATTTTTACAATATCAAAACTATCCCTATTATACATGGCCTTCAAAACGAGAGAGAAAATCTTTCGTTACAATCATGCCCTGTCCCCACTTATTTCATTGCCTTATTTGAAAAATGCAAGGATAATATGCCACAAACATTTTATGACCATAAAAGTTTGATAGCTATAATTTTGGCAGCCAAAACCGTTCAGTAGCTAAACCTTTTAGCGACAGATATTTAGTTGCTAATATCTTTCACTGTAAGTTTAGTCCAAACAAAACGGGTTAGCACAGATCCCTTTACTAATGGCCCAATCTCGACCCGTCCGACCTAATTGGACTGATACTCTAAGCTCAAAACTATTTTAAAACCGGCCCGAATATTTCCTTTGAGTTATTGGGCGACACAAACTTTTACTTCTACAATGAAATACCATTTAGTCATTGATTCCTTCCGCGACAAAAATCTGAGTAGCTAATGCTTGATTTTTGACTACTAAACAGTATATGCCATAAAAGTTCGGTCCTAAAAAGTATTAGTCGTGGTCGTTCAAAATATATTATTTTTCACAATAACTTGCCCTTTTGTGACAAAAATTTTTTTACCAAAATTTCGGTCCCAAAAATATAAGTATGATCTTTTTATCTACGACCAAGTTTGCTACAATTTATAGGATATTTGGTAGAGGGATTCGTTCCCTGATTCGAATAATAATTCATGGTTCGCTACAGTATTTTTCTCACAAAAAATTCACGTAAATAAAAAATGATTCGAATCACATAGTTTGAATCCTCCAACCAAACGTCCTCTTAGTTGCGGAACATTCCGTGCCCAAAAAGGCGTTTGGTTGCAAAATCTTTTTGTGATAGACTTCCTGCGACCAAATTACAACAAACAAATATTTCGTCACTGAAGGTTTTTGCGATAAAACAAGAATTCTACTGCTAAATTGATATGAGAGAGTGAAAATTTTTGTAGTATGGTCGTAAAAAATTTACGGTATAACGCAAATATTTATTGTTGTGTGGGTTGCAATGCGTGAACCGTACTATGATTCTATTCTCCTTCTCATCTCTTGTTTGTTGATGACATCATCCTTTGTTGTCTAGCTAGCTACCCCTAATGCCATAGATGTATAAATTAAGATTTTTTTTGGATCTATAATAATCTTTCAGGTTACTAGGTTATTTCATAGGAATTTGATATCTATTTTGGTTCCTCTTTTTGTACTAATCACTCTAATTGCATTAGTGCTTTGCTTGCCATGAAAAAATAGGTATTCAGCCAATAAACTACCTTGGAGTTCCTTTATGCAAAGGTGCCCCCAGACATAAAATTCTTTACAGAGTTTTGATAAATTGAAAGTAAATTCTTGGAACGTCCATGATTCGTTGTCTACGGCTGGTAGGTTGATCACTTTGATTCATTCGGTGATTGTTAGTTCTCTAAATCATATTTTCTGGTTTATATAGGCCTCTTAATCTATTAAAATAGTTAATACTATACACTATGGTGAACTTTTTGTGGTGTGGCCGCACTGATAAAAGGAAAATAGCTTCGATGGCATGGGCTAAATCCTGTTTGCCGCTTGAAGAACGGTCTTAGTATTCGGCCTCTCAAAGCTATCAATAATGTTTTCTAGAGGAAAATTACTTGGAAGCTTCTGGCTTATAATTCTTTCGTGTATTCTTTTATGGTGGTATGTGCATAATTAAAAAGTTTCATAGTGTTAGAATGATGCCTATTACTTTTTCGATCTGGCCTAAGGTGAGAATATATATATATATATATATATATTAATGGGAAATTTCACAAGAAATCAATTACATAAGATACAAATGGCCCCAAATACAAAGGAATTCGGCCTTGAATTAATGATTGAATAGCACATGGGTGAATACAAATTTTGAGACTCAAATAAAGAAAGACTAGCTCGGCACATAAACATCGAGCTTGGCCATTGCTTGTTAAATAACATCAAAACAGTCGATGGACTAGCCCAGTAGACCGAGACCAAATCCCACATAATGGGGACAATCACACCAAGGCATAGAGGGAACTCTAGCCAGAAAATATACACCACATCATTTACAAACGGGCGGGGGACAGAAACGGAGGACATCACCTCCGTTATTATCGAAACGAAAACACTAAAGTAAAATAAAATAAAAAACCCACACTAAAGAGGTAGAAACATCAACGCCTTTATTACAACTAAACAAAAAAAGATCCCTTGACAGCAAGCCATCGATCGGGCATGAAACATAAGCCAGAACAAAGCGGAGCCATCTCAAAAAAAAAAAAAAAAAGCACACCCGAGAAAAGTGGAAGATTGTGGGAGGACCACAGCAAAATAGAGAAGACGTTAATCACAAACACCTCAGCCACTAGAGCATAAGAGAAATACCGCCTCTAAGAGAATCTCACTATCTTGTAGCTGTTGATGAATGCAGTTATTTAGCTAATTGGCTCCAATTCGAAGCTTACGTTTGGTATGATAAATGGATTGGTTATGGCATTGTTAACAAACTTAATCTGCTGGACAATTTAGCTACTCGGGCTAAAGTCTCTGATTTTCTTAAGGATGGTGTTTGGGTGCTTCAACTTTTTGTTTCAGCAATTGCCGAACATACATATGCAAGGAAAATGAGTATGTCCTCCTACTACTCGAGACAGAAAGCCCTTATCGCAGCATTCTTATATGGGAATTCCTTCCGTTAAAATTTTTTACAAATTCTTTCTTTGACTTAAAATCGCCTCTTCAAATCATAAAATATCTCAAAATAAGTAAACTATATTGATAATAAAAAGTTGAGCAGGTTTACATAAATTATTTTTAACAAATATCAGGTGAGACCATTTCCAATGCAAATTCTAATATCAATTGTATATTTAGCATCAAAAAATGTTTATAATATGTTATTTTCTTTTTTGTTCCAATACACATAATGCTAATTTGAAATGTCAAATTTCAATTTTCTTATAATCATTGAGCTTAGAAAGTTGTAAAAGTAAACTTTTATTTTTAAACATTTTGTAAATTATTGATAATATTTTCTTAAATTGCCCTTTCGTGGTTACCATTTGTGGATTTTTCATGGGGTGTTCACTCTTTTATTCTTGCGGCAATAAAGAAGAAAATGAGTCCTCAGGTTTGGAATATTTGGATTTCGACCATTCCATCTTCTACCTTATGGTCTCTTTGAAAATATCTTTACAGAATCATTTTTGAGAGTTTTAAGATTTTTGAACGGGCTGTTATTGCCATTATTTGGCATTGTATTCAAGAGACTAATTCTTTGGATAGATCGATCAAGTTGCATGTACAGTTATATTAGTAATCTTTCTGTTCCGCTTAAATTTAATCAGAGAAAGAACTTATATTTTGCATTTGGGTCTCATCCTGCATGATGTGATGAAATTTTTAGAACTTAAAGAGGCTTTTGGTAAGGTTGCTTTATTTCCCCGTTGGGAGTTTTTTGAATGCTTTTGAAAGCAGAGTTTGTTGTGCTTATCAAAGCTAACATTTTAAATCTTGCTGGCAAGCTACCTTAATGTTCCTGGTTTGATCACCTTTCGCGTTTCTCATATTTGTAGCGACATGATTGGCCTTTTGAAACAGATTTTCTTGTGGGTGATGGAAGTAGAGGTATTTATATCCGAGTCTTTCTGATTTTAATGGCATTTAGTGGTTGCTTTTGATACAAGCACGTGCACTTTTTTTTTTTTTTTTTTCTTTCTCTTTTTATGTTTTTTCCTTTTAGGTTTTATTAGAAACTTCTTTACTGAGACCTTTTTTAAGAGCTAATTTTTAAAGGTATAATTTCGCTTAACCATATACCGTTAGCTCACAGCTTATTATCTTCTGGCTTCCTGAAGTCTTTTACGAGCTGTTTTGTTTCTTTTAGTTGCAAGACTTTTGTTTGTTTTGCCCTTTTGCAATATCCATACCCTTTGTATTATTTTTGAATTTTCTTTCTTTTATTTAATAACATAGAGTGATTAGCTTATGATAAGTGCTTGAAGGGTACTAACCTAGTTAGAATGTCTTGATTTGCCTTGATACTTTGTTGTCCTTCTCATCATTAAAAAAAAAAAAAAAAAAACAAGAAAACTTTGATTGATGTATATATTATCCCACCCGCAAACAAAAAAGTTAGTTGAAGTACACGGAATTGGTAACTGGTAATGTATGAATATTGTTATTATTACTATTATTATTATTATCATTATTTTTTTTTTATTTTTGGTAGAAATCTCTCCGAACTGGGACTAGACGGAATTGTTGACCATGTTGCGCGGGGGCTTTTTAATAATATATTGCCTCAATACGAGGAATGTTCCAACTAGCTTATGTTTATCTTCCTAACATATTTCTGCTTGCCTCACATATAAAAAAGGAATGCACTTAAGCCAAAAAGAAGCTTTTCTTCTAATATCTTCACTTTGGCTTAATTGCGAGCTTATTTAGTTCCACATAACGAAATACATGATGGCTTGTTCTTCTTTGCCTGAAAATGTACTCTCCGTTCAGCAAAAGCTAATCGATGAGCTCGTTCGAGGTCGCGAAATTGCCAATCAACTCCAAACTTTGCTTTCTCAGTCCCTTGGTGATGATTGGTCTGTAGTAAATTCTGCAGAATATCTGGTTTTGAGGATAATGGAGTCGTTTACGAATACCCTTTTCATGTTAAACGGAAACAACCCCGATGAGACCGTTGTTTTTCAGATTCAGGCCACTGGTTCTCACGTCGATTCCCCATGTTTGGATGGTTGGAAAATATCTGAAGATTCCGAGAAAAGTTGCAGGACTAGTGTTTTTACTATGAAAGATACCGGGGTTTGCTACAAGAGACGGTAAGCAAGATGTGTGAGGCTTTCGACATTGGTTTCGACTTTAGGGGTAGTTTCAACTCTTATCTGATCACAAAGTGGCCTAAGAATCAAAAGTACTTATATAATTTTGTGATCTTTCAAGAAAGAAAAAATTATCTATCCAATTTTGACATCGAAAATCATTTTAATTGACTTTTTCATTTTTAATGTTTAAGAGACTATTAAATGACATTGAAAAATGTAATTGATTAGATATAATTTGAGACTTTAAAAAAATAAACAGGTTATCTAAATCCGATGTTATATATAGCTTTTGCAGTATAATGGGATTTTGTTGTTGATTATCTATCGAATATGATAATTGTGGCACCTTGTTAAAATATTTTCAGGAAGACGGTCTACACGTGGCAAAGAGAAACTTCAACTCTGACTGATGATGGGCATGCATGGAGAAAGTACGGACAAAAAATGATTATTAAAGGCAAACATCCCAGGTGTATATATATATATATATAATGTGGCATTATTAAATTACTATATTTAATTAGTGATTATTAATAGAGATATAACTATTAAAAAATCATCAATATCTTTATACACATGATTTTTATCTAATATTAACTAACTATCAAAAAAAAAATCTCACTCTTTTCGTCATTCTTGTTAATTTACTTGACATATATATACTTGTAATTTGAAACAAAATTTGAACTACGTTTATAAAAATATTGATTTTCTAGCTATCTCTGAAATTTTGGGAAAAATTCCAAAGTTTGTGGAAGTTTTTCTTATTTAGATGGCAAGTCCATAAACAGTTGTACGGAAAACTATGTTTGATTCTTAAAAAAAACAAACAAAAAACAAAAAACAAAAAACAAAAAAAGAAAAAACAAACAAAACAAAACTAGGTTAGATCTGCTCATCATAAAGCCGAAACTAATCTTTGCCTACAAATTGAATTACAAGCAAAAAATCGAGTAAGTAGAAAATAAAAGAAAATATTTACTGCATATATATGTACCTTTTTTTGAACTTCAAGTCATCAATCTGATCATCATGGACTATATATATATATATATATATATGCAGACACTACTATAGGTGCACAAACAAGTATGATCAAGGATGCCAAGCAACCAAACAAGTCCAGAAAATTCAAGAGAGTCCTCCAATCTTCAGGACAACATATTGTGGGCACCACATATGCAGAAACCTCCTTAGAGCTCCTGAACTCGTCTTTGATTCTACTAGTCCTAACCAAGACTCTTCTCTACTTCTTAGCTTCAAAGACTCCAATAATCTCAAGAACTTCACACCCCAACAAGCACACCATTTTAATTTCTCATCGTTCACATCGGTAAAAGACGACGTAACGGATGCCTCTAATAACAACATGATGGTATCCGGTCGGAGTAACCGGTCATCCTCCTCGGATTATATTGTCACACCTGATCAATTTTGTCTCACCGATCATGGCCATGATGATGAACTAATCACGGCATTTAACCAATCTCCCGGACAGTACATGACGGCGTTGTCACCAAATTTGGACTTTGATATCCAGTGGGATCTGATGTCTGGGGTGATGTCTTTTGATGACGGTGATGTCTTTTAACACTTCAATTTTTGACGGGTTTTGTTGTTTCCTTTTTGAAAGAGTTTTCTGCTTTTTTCTCTCTTCCTCTCTAAAGGATTTCATGTGATTTACTTGGCAGTGTAGATCTATTAATGTATTAATCAAATTAGAACAAGTAATCTTCTTGGATTTTCATGCCAAAGTAATATATATATTTTTTAATTGTTTTTATACAAACCAACGAGGGAGTGCAACTAATTGTATTAAGCTTTTGAGACGTCCCAAAAGAAGAGCAAAGCTCTAGAGCAATGAACCACATAGATTGTGAATTAAGATTAACACCATGGGAAGCAAGACGATCTGCCACCTGATTACCACGCAAAAAACGAGAGAGACCCGGTAAATAAGTGTTTGTAAATGCGAAGGAGCAATTAACCAATGCGCCTTCAACTTCCAAGGTACAATATTAAACAGAAAATCAACCACATACGTCGAGTCACACTCGAACAGTGAGAATCCAAACCAGGTACATTGGCTTAGTTTGATATTGATTTTCGCTCCCAAAATCAGCTTCTGGTTGTAACAAAAACTGATTTTAATGTTTGGTAAATCTCCTCAAAATTACTTTTTAAAGAATTTTTAAAAAATCTACAGTCAAAATCAGAAGCAGCTTAAAGACAACTTTAGCTTTTAAATTGTGCGGAAATCAACATAGTACAATTAATAAAATTTTCATAATACCCATAATACCTCTAATGAAATTTAAAATTTACAATATTCTCAATCTAAAACTCAGACTCGTAATATAATATAATATAATATAATAATAATATAATATAAAATAATATAATGTAATAGTAATATTGTAATAAATAATATCATACTTATATTAATAACTATAAATTATTATTTTATAATGTAATATGATATTATAATTATTATTTTATAATAATAATATATATTATTATTATCTATTATAATGTATTACACATAATATTGTCATATTATATATTAATTATAATATATTTGTTTAATATAATATAATATTACATAAAAAATAATAATATTTCAGTTATAATATAATTAAAAATTACAACTATATTATAGTATATTATAATATATTATATAATAATAGTTTTTTGTATTATATTAAATATAATAATAAATATATATTATATTGTATTGGTATGATTATATTTATTATATTAATACTAATAAAATAATTAATATTATTAAATATAATAATAAATATATATTATATTGTATTGGTATGATTATATTTATTATATTAATACTAATAAAATAATTAATATTATTAAATATAATAATAAATATATATTATATTGTATTGGTATGATTATATTTATTATATTAATACTAATAAAATAATTAATATTATTAAATATAATAATAAATATATATTATATTGTATTGGTATGATTATATTTATTATATTAATACTAATAAAATAATTAATATTATTAAATATAATAATAAATATATATTATATTGTATTGGTATGATTATATTTATTATATTAATACTAATAAAATAATTAATATTATTAAATATAATAATAAATATATATTATATTGTATTGGTATGATTATATTTATTATATTAATACTAATAAAATAATTAATATTATTAAATATAATAATAAATATATATTATATTGTATTGGTATGATTATATTTATTATATTAATACTAATAAAATAATTAATATTATTAAATATAATAATAAATATATATTATATTGTATTGGTATGATTATATTTATTATATTAATACTAATAAAATAATTAATATTATTAAATATAATAATAAATATATATTATATTGTATTGGTATGATTATATTTATTATATTAATACTAATAAAATAATTAATATTATTAAATATAATAATAAATATATATTATATTGTATTGGTATGATTATATTTATTATATTAATACTAATAAAATAATTAATATTATTAAATATAATAATAAATATATATTATATTGTAATTATATATATATATATATATATATTATATTATAATATAATATAGTCGTAATTTTTAACTATCCACAGCAATTCAACCTCATAATTTATCAAACGTTATTATACTGATTTTAGAACCAACACATCTACTATAATTATAGTTTACCAAACACTCAGTTATTTTTTGTAACAGCTGCTTTTTCTTTCAGCACAACTAAAAGTAATTTTTTCAAAATCTACAGTAATATCAAACTAAGTCATTGATAGCAAAAAGTAACTCCCATAAGCTCAGCTGACCTAATGATACAGCTACAGTAATAGAGATGCAACTCTGGGCTGGCCGGCCCGGCCCATTCTACTAAGACCCACGCTCACCGTGCGTCAGGCCAGTCTAGCCCACGATTTTAGTGGGCCGTGACTCGCCGACCCATATATAAGAACACCCCTAAATCCAGCCCACACCACGATCCAATTTTACGTGGGTTAGGTCGGGCCATGTCATAGGCCGTGAACAGGTCGGTCCATTCTAGCCTATCTACGAGTTAGGATAGGTAGGCCCATCTTGGCCTACCATAGGCCAGCCGATCTTGACCTACAATTTTGTAAATTTTTTAAGTTTTGTTTTTGAATTTCTAGACAAGTTAATAAATATAAAAGTATGAATAGTCAATAAAAATATGAAAAGAAATATTTCTTTTACGATGACCTCATTAAAAATCTTTTTTAAGAAAAGTCTAGTAGGATAATAACTTGGTAAGGAAAATAGAATACAGTCATAGTAATTGTACATAAATTTATAAATATAATATATATACATATATGTAGTTAGTTTGAAATGGGCCTTCGGAGGGCTGGCCCAATGGATCTATATGGGCGGCCCGGCCTGGCCTTTGAAATTTCATGGCCCAGTAGCACGACCTATGGGCTAGGGCTGTACATGGGATGGGTTGGGTTGGTGCAGGGTAGGGCTTTTTCTTGCCCCACCCCAAAGGGTGCGGATTGCACATATTTGGCCCCAACGATGTTAGAAAAATTTCACAACTCAATGATGTTTAGGTTGGGTTGGGGCGGGGGCAGGGGTGGGGTGGGTTGGGTGGTCGGGCTCATCATTCAAATAATCAAAGTTCAATCTAGAGGCGGAGAGAGCCAAGAGGAGATGCGGAGAGGCGGAGAGAGGCAGAGAGCCGAGAGGAGAGGCGGAGAGAAGCTGCCGGCGCCAAAGAGCTTAAGGATCTAGTCGACTGGTCGAGGAAGGACTGAAGACAGTCTAGGTCTGCGTGTGGAGATGAGAGTTGCTAGACGAGAGAGAGTAGTTAGAACTTAGAACTTAGAGGACATGACCCATGCATGTTTGTGTGGGTCGGGTTGTGGTATGCGGGTTATTACAGGCCCAACCCACAAACCACCCCAAACACCTCGGGCCAAACATTTAGTGGGCTAAAAAATAAAAAATAATGCTACAAGTTGCCTTTTTCGGGTTGGGTTAGGGTGGGGTGGGTTAGGTTTGCAGGTTGTTCAGGTTTATGTACAGCCTTACTATGGGCTGAGAAATGCTAGCCAAGCTCAGCCCACCATTATTGATGGGCTAGGCCATGCCATGAACATTATCGGGTCATGTTGGCCCGACCTGATACTCTACCAGGATGGGTTTGGGCTGGCCCATGAGCCTCGGCCCATAGTTTTATTTCTAGTTCTTAAAAAACCACCACAAGAAGAATATCTCAAAGTTCCTCTAGCTGTGCTATGAGTTTTAAATATTTTAGGAAAATTGTAGTAAGTAGCAGATTTTTAAAACTAAATTAAGTAAATATATAGCAGATTTTAAAACGTTTTGAGACAAATAACAGTTTACGTGATAAATGAATGATTTTACATAGTAAATCATTCATTTACAACTGGTAAAAAATAACTTACGTGTTAAAAAATCTTTTTTTACGTGGAAAAAAGAATCTTTTTATACGTGGAAAAAAGAATCTTTTTACCAGTCGTAAAAAGAAAATTTACGTGAAAGATAAAATGTTTTGCTAGTTGTAAATAAATAATTTACACAGTAAATGAAAACGTAAACTACTATTTACTTTAAATAGTTTTAAAATTTACTATTCACTTAATTTAATTTCAAAAATCTACTATTCACTTAATTTAATTTCAAAAATCTACAATTCACTTAATTTAATTTCAAAAATCTACTATTCACCACATTCTCCCTTAATTTTATCCAACCAGATAAAGGAGGATACTGACTTGAATAATTTGAGGAACCCTATCCATTGTCCTTGTAACCTAAAGGTTTTACATAATTTTCAAGTTATCCGCCAATAAGTTATGATCATGACCCCAGAATCGTCTTTCCAAAAAGAGCTCCAAGTTTTTAAGTTGTCAAAGCATGAAATAATGTTGGATCGGCATTATTCTTCTATATTACGAAATTTCTTGATGACCCGACGAGAGGATATCATCGATGTAGTCCGAAGGTTATAATTTTTGAGAAATCATTAAACGACAAACGATGTCTTTAAAAAAAATTCTAACTCCCGAATCAAGTTCCTCTTGGCAATTGAAGGCCGAAAAAAATTCAACGCTCTTTGCAAGTTTAAGGAGGAGCTGATCAAGACAGTGCTCGGACTGTGTTAAGGATCGAAAACGAGCAACTCAAGCTGAAAACTTGGAGGAAGTCAGATGGACCTATGGCAAAGTCATTGTATAAAGAGACGTCTTGTGTTAAAAGTTGGTGGATTTTTGGAGCAAACTTCTCATTCCAAGAGTCTAACTACAAGTTAAGTGTAATAAAATGCTTCTACTTTCATTAATGGTACATTTCAGCATTCGTGATTTTTCTCTTAGTGGTTTTTGGTCAGGTTAAATAATCATATTAATCTTTATGCTTAAGGATAAGTATTTTATGCACTATGTTTAAATTTTTAGCAATAGTACGTGTGATTAATTTGTTAAGTGGTTCTAGAGTAAAGGTCTGACAGGTTTAATAATGTTCAAGAAGTTGTGTTGATAATGAAATCATTCCAGGGAAAACTTAACATAATACTGTGGCAAAACAAGAGGAATATAAGCCTAATCGACCGTGCATTTCAAAGTTTACTTATATATATATATATATATATATATATATAGTCCCTAAACTAGGTGTCCATTAATTTTGGAAAGGGTTCATTTGACCTGTTGAACTATACAAATTAGGGGTGTGTAACAAACCATTTAAACCAACCAAATTAAAGCAAACCAAAAAAAAAAAAACCAAACCAACCAATTAATAATTAGTTTGGTTTTAATTTAAAAAAAAACCAATTAAATTGGTTTGGTTTGTGGTTTTAACCATTAAAAAACCAAATCAAACCAAACCAACTGAATTTATATATTTTTTAAAATTATATATATTTTGTAGATCTGTAACGTATTCATATATAAAAAATAAGTTTATTCTAATATTAAATAATCATAACCCTAAAAAAGTTTCTATTATAAGAAATGTCTATCATATAAAATATTAGTGCCAATTACAATTAAGGGAGTTTGAGAAAAGGTTGTAAAATATTAGTTCAAACCAATTAAAAAAAACTAAACCAAACCAATTACAATTGGTTTAGTTTGAATTGTATTATATCTCTTAATTGATTTAGTTTGGTTTGAGAATCTCTAAATCAATTTGTAATTGATTTGATTTATATTTCACCCAAAATAAGCGGTTTAGTTGGTTTGCATATCCTTAATACAAATGTTTCCAAACACTTTCTCTATCTGTAATAATAGTAACAAAATAATGATGTGACATTATTGTAATTTTATAAACACCTCCGAAATATTGATAATATTGATTTTAAGTCAACTTATGATGCATGTATAACTGGGAATAGGAAAAGATGGAACGACTCTTGGATTGGTTTGCACAATTTAAAGATGCGATTAATTTAGGAATGTGGAAGCTTAAGAGTTTGAACTTCATTTTAATACTATTTATGCAAGTTTAGAATTTTAAAGTTTGAGTTTATTATTGTATTTATTTTGGGGTTGTTTGAATTTAATTTGGGGTTCAGAATTTGAAAGTATGTCTAGTTTTGAGTTTATTATTGTATTTATTTTGGGGTTGTTTGAATTTAATTTGGGGTTCATAATTTGAAAGTATTTCTAGTTTTAATATTGAGTCATTATTATAGGTGGGTCTGGAGGCCTATAAATAATCTTGTAATCTTGTAATATTGGAAGGATATGAATTATGGAATGAGAAACCGAAGTCATTTTCAGCATGAAAATACTTGAAATTCTTATCTCTTTGGTGGATTCCATTGAGTGGTGAATTTTCTTTTCTTTTTGTATCTTAAGGTGGTGCTTTTCTTATTTTTAAGTGGTGAAACATTTTTACCTTTAAATTCCTCTTAAAAAATGTAGTTTTAGCTTGTATTCACTAAAAAACACTAAACACTAACAGTTCTTTTCTCAACACTTCTTTATTTCCTAAACTCTTCGGGAATACGGTATCAATTTACCTCCCAAACTATTAACTCTGTCAACTTGTCCCTCAATATTTTAAAGGGGATAATTGTTACAAAATTTATAGTTCGGGAGATATTTATGAAAGTACATTAGTGTATAAGGTGTTTTAAACAATTTCATACAGTTTAGGGGTGAAATGAATCTTTTTTAAAATTCAAGAGATAGGGTATATAGTTTAGGGGTATATTATAAAATAAAATAAAAAATAGTTGTTTATTTTTCTGAGCTTGATGCAAACTTAGATTTCTAAATTCAAATATATATATATATATATAGAGAGAGAGAGAGAGAGTTCAAATTCCCACCTCATGTACACGTATAAGGGGAAAATCATGATCATAACTATATAATTTACATCGCGCTTGAAATATATACTAAGTCTGCTTATTACAGCAGTTGGGGATCACTTTGGCGGCAAAATCAAGCTGATAAAGCCCCCAAACAAGAGCCAAAGAGGACAGCCAAACAGGCACAGGGCCAAGCATCCACAACAGCAAAGGAAAGCTGATGCAAAGCAAACGATTGCTCACAAGAGCCAACACAAATCCCTTCTCAAATATGGTCTGCCTGTGTTCATTATTATACAAGGAAAACTCCTCAGAATTCGAATTTATCAAGAAATTTGCGTCGATCAGAAATGCGATGGCCATTGATCCAAACACGAAGCTGAGTGACGAGAAAACTGCGATTGATCCGTACTTTAGGGCAAAGATCTTCGTCGATTGAGACCCGAAAAGCGGACTACTGAAGAGATGCGCCGCGGTGTAGGCGTTATTTATTAGAGTGGCTAGTGATATGACGACGAGAATTGATATGGAAGCTGTTAGGATGGTGGCCATGAGAGTGTTTCTCAAGCTTTGCACTACCAACATGCTTTTCTTATCATTTCCCTGCGGTGGACCAAGACATAAATATAAAATAAAGAAATAATAAATAATAAAAGAAACTAAAAACAAAAACAAAAGTGAAAACATAGTTATATAAGAGGTCTTGGGATCATATGATGAATGGAAAAGAGGAAATTAGAGGAAATATTTTATCAATGATCTGTACATTAGTGTTGTATATATGATATCAAAATTATTTTCGTCGTGCACTTTTTTAAATCTACAACTAAATTTAATTTTATAAATAGTTGACAAATTAATAAGTATAGCTCCTCTTTTATTTGAATTTAGAGATAGACTCAAGAGTCAAGATCTTAACTTTGAGGTGGGTGTGGAATTATCGTAAAATTAAATGATTTTTTTACAAATAAATGTATTTTGAAGTCTAGTATCATGGGGTAAAAATAGCAAAGTGAGAAAAATGGAAAGAAAGAGAGAGAAAGAAATTTTTAATTACAAGGAAATTATAAAGGAGAATTATGTGATTCGGTATGAAAAAAAAAAAAAAAAAACATATATCAACAGGACTAAGACACAATTCTAAACGGTCAAATCACATTAGAAATTTTATCATATTGAAAAAGTACATGACAATTTAAAAAAAAAATTTATAAAAATCGTAAGGTTTGTTTTCCTTAAACACCTACCCAAAAATAGAATTCTCCCGTTCTAAAAGCGGCAAAAGATTTTTCATTAAATTGCCCTCATATCATCTATCCCAAACAACCCAATTAGTATACATCCCAGTCTCCTCACCCTCGATCTACGGATATAGCTAAAAGAACTTGGTTTATGAATATTTCATACTTACATCTTTCAAGTCCAGAAACCAAGCTCTCCTCTTTAAGGCGTTAATTCCAAAGGTGGTGCGAGAGGGTTTGTTCTTGAAGTTGTGCCATAGATAGCCATGGTAACCAACCGTCAGAAAAAAGCTCAACGGGATCAATACGGTATCCAAATAAACAACCAAACCCATTTCTAATTTTGAGCGATGGAATGAAGCTAATTATAAAGAATCATTTGTATTTAAAACAAGGGAAAAAGCACAATATATAATGCATGTAAATCACACTTAGAATATTTATTGTCTGCCTAGTGGGGTTTACGTCGATGAGCAATATGTACTTTGTACGCAACGCAATAATGGTGGAATCAAAGTGGAATCATGAGTATGATGGACACTAATATTTTGTGGGGCTAATTGTGATCAAATTTTATGAAAAAGTTGAAGAGTTGGCTCATTTTGGTGACCCCTCCATTAATGTTCCTTTGGATTCTTGTCGTTTTATTCTTTTCCTTCCTTTTCCCTTTTTTTCTTCCCCTTTTCTTTAATATATGCTACTTTAACTAACAATATCTTACGGGTTGTTTGGTTGCTAGATTCATGTCATGATTCGAATCATGGTTCGTGGTTCGCTACAGTATTTTCTCTCACAAAAAATACACGTAAATTAAGAATGATTCTGAATCCATCAACTAAACGTCCACTTAATTTTTCATATGCATTCCAGTAGTCATTATATTTATATATAAACGTATTGTGCAACATTTATAATTAGTTGGATAATAAGCACGTTCACCTGATGGAGAAATAATTATTAAACTTTTGGGAATGATATATATGTATATATCCAAAAAGGACACTATTGAACAGAAATATTTCAAATTCTACAATTTGTAGTACTGTTTTAACATTTTTTTTTTCTTTTGCAGTTAATAAGTATATGTGATAGAGCGTATATGCTTGTATATATTCACAAAAATAAACTTAATTACATGATAAGACGGTGATCACTGATCAGCAGTTCTTAAATTAATTTCTTTTTATCTTTTATTTTCAGACCGAAATGCTTGCATGCATCACATGATGAGGTGTGATCACACATACAAAGTGTAATTACAAAACTATGCCCGCCCACCCCGCCAAATATGTTTGGACCTCCTTCCACGACCCACCCCGGCAAGAATCTGCTCCTCCAGTCATCAATGGGCACTACTAGGTTTTTTTTTTTTTTTTTTTCTTTTCTTTTGAGTCCAGAATAGGAAAATTTTCCTCGCTATATATAGCTCACAAGTCGATCGTCGCTCAAAACCTTTTAGGGTTTGGGGAGTAGGTCAGGTATCCCAGCTTGCACGGATTTAAATTTCAATAGAGATTGAATTGAATAATTATTACATTAAAGAGAAATGTTAGCGTCACTCTTTCTATCACTCTCTGCATTTACTGTTTGACATGTGAAATCCACTAACATGATATATTATAATTATTTAGATAGAAAATGAGATAATTGAGTCACATGTCAAACAGTGTGCATAAGTGATAAAAAGAGTGACAGAAACAGTGACACTAGCATTTCTTTGCACTAAAATTTAATTCATCCAAAACAAAAATAAAGGATTACACTTAAAATTCACGGACCATATATACTCAATGAAATTAACCCATAAAATTAAGAAGAAATACACACTTAAATAAAATTAGTACCACTCAATGCACTTGGATTTCTTTAACTAGGACATAATTATTGGTTAGGCCTTTTTTGTAATTTTTCAAGGAAAATCGAGCTCATAAAGCCACCAAACCAAGGCCACTGACGATAATACCACTGGCAAGGGACCAAAAATCCATAGTAGGAAAGGGAATGTGATCAAGAGCAGCCGGTTACCAATAAGTACCAAAAGGAATCCACGTTCCAGAGCTATTTCTGCATATTCGGATGATGAAAACTCAGCAGACGAAGCATTTATCAAAAAGTTTGCGTCCATGAAAAGTGCAAGGGCTTGAGAGCTACAAAAGAAACTAAACAGGAAAAGGAACGACGCCAAGCCGTACTTTTGAACGAACATTTTTCCGGATTTGGAGCCCAAAAATGGTGTGTTGAGAAGATAGCTTCCTTTGAAGGAGTTGTTCGTTAGAGCTGCCAATGCCGTGTTAAGGAGAATTGCAAATGAAGCGTTGAGTATTGCCACCATTTGGGAGTTTCTCAAGCTTTGGACAACTAGCATATCATTTTTATCACCACCCTGAACGGCAAAATTATTTAGCACTCATATATATGTGTTAGCAAGTGCATATCCCAATTGAGTAAAAAGTATATATTGAGCATTTCACATTTATAATAACACATGCTAATGAGTAATTGATGACTTGATGTATTATTAAGTTCCTGATATGCCTTCTCTTGTCATTTTTTCTTTAAATGCTGAGTAATTGGCAGCCTGTTTGATCACTTGGATCAAAAGTACATGCTTTTATGTTAAAATAGTACAATCAATAATATGATCAACATTTTTCAACAAGACACGTAGTTGAGTATAAGAATAAGATAGGTATCATACTTGTTAAGAGACGTAGAAATTATATGTATGAAATTTTAAGGGAAAAAAAATTACGGTTAAAGATCTGAATTCTACATATCTTGTGGTGAAAACAGGTGCGTAAGATATATAAACTCGTAAATGCCATTTAATCAACAGATCATATAAGGGCTCACCTCTACTATCTTTAGAAACCATGTTCTTCTAATTGTTTGCAAGTTGATTCCTCTGGTGGTACGAGAAGGCTTCTTCTTCAAACAATACCATAGATAGGCGTGATACCCCACCGTAAGGAAGAGGCTAAAGGGGACAAAAATGGCGTCCAAAAAACTAAGCATTGTCTTGATGCTCCTTCCACGTTAATTTTGTTAGCGTGCAATTAATATTAGAGCCGTCAAATATGGTTTGTCAACCGTATGTCTTTACTAGTAGTACTTCTTTTGATCTTCAATAATTTCAATTTGACGAAACACAATACCGATCAAAGAACCAACTTACTTAGAAATACATATAAAAATACACCTATGCATCTAAATAACTTTCTGAGGGGAGACCAATAAAAACTAAAATACTCAACGTGTTGACATTAATGTGGCTTATTCCTTCGCAAGTAGCCATTTTATAATTTGGTTAATTTCTCACCACCAAGTAATAAATATTGGCGTTTGTAGGCAGCTTCTGGCCATGCACGTACGTTAGTGGAGTTCAAAGTCACAAGCTAAGCCAGCCCATGAGTCTTCTTTCTTAATTATAATATCCCGATGCAGTTGTGGAATGAGGTCTGGTGGACATATTATATAAAGATAGGAATATTAATGGGGCTTGAGTAACTTTACACTAAGGGTATGTTTATGCACCGTATTGTATTATATCGTATTGTATCGTATCGTATAGTATTGTATTGTATTATATAATTTTTATATAATACGGTGTTTGGTTGGTGGTATTATTAAACATTACACTATTTTTATCATTGTAATCTATTTACATATTAGTTTGTAATAAGGTAAAATTTAGGCCTAATCATAACCTAATTCGACTCTAATCTCGACCCGAACTCAACATTTAGAGGAAACAAGAGAGAAAGTAGAGTTACTATATAGGGGCCTTTTGCAAAAAAAAATTAAAAATGGGATCAAATTGTAATTTTTAAAATATTAAGGAGGTGAAAACATAATTTTAAAAAAGTTTAAGGGTCAAAATATAATTTTAAAAAGTTTAGGGGTCAAAATATAATTTTTTAAAAATATAAATCTAATATCACTCCGGTCCCGAAATTAGACTCTAACGTCTGTCCCCAAACTCAACCCTCAGCCTTGATATTTGTGAAATATTTTATATGTTTTTAATATGATATTTTAAGTTAAATTGCATAATACGGTTTACTATATATTTTTTTTCGTATTAGATATCACACTTCATATTGTATTAATTTTGAATCTCATATTAAATTATACAATGAATAAATGTCACTAAAGATTATATTATTAAACAATATAATACGAAGTGTTTATACAGTGCATAAAGGAAAGCAAACAAGACCAAAAAGCAAGAAAACAACGCATCCAGATGAGCCCCGCGCGCTGCTGCGTGCCTCAGCTTCCAGCAGCGAGATTCTTCTTCCAAAAATGCGCGCCGCAGCGCATTTTCACATAGACTGCAGCACGCGTCTGAATCCCTAGCTCCGAAACTGAGTAGTATAAAAGGAAAGAGATGCCACTTGAGAAAGGGAGCCCCGAAAAACTGAAGAAAACATCAAAAATAGGCCGAAATCTTTCATCTTGGAGGTCCTTGGGAAGCTCTTTAATGGATTTTGGGTTTTATCTTCATTCATCTATTTTTCCATGTTGAGCTAGACATTAGATCTAGGACTTGATGTAGTTTTATTTGAACTATGTTTTGAATCTTTTGTTAATTGTTAATTTAATTTCGTTTTCCATTCATTTGTGTTTCTCTATGCTTAATGCTTCTAATTTATTTGGCCAATGAGTTAGATGATTTTTAGATTGTGAATTTGATGCTCGGGAGAGATTGAGTTATTTATCTAGATTTGAGAAACATAGTCTAGGTTGTTGTGAGACTGGGAGGAGATCAACGGTTAGATAATCAAATTAGGATTTAGGTCGTTGTGAGGCCGGGAGGCGATCAATATTCCTAGTTTCTAATTCTAAAGGCGAAGCTTAATTTGTGTTTAAATATTCATTTCGAACAGGGATATTGTTTTGGGTATTTAAATATAGTTCCTTATGAGGCACTCGGGAGAGGTTGCGAGGTGACATTAGAGCCTTGATTAATGAATTGAACGGAATTGATTAGCGATTACATAATAGGATGAACATAGGAATAATAAAGTGAAATCAAGTCCCTAGACCATTTGTGTATAGATACTTTATTCTTATTCTTATATTTATTTTGTTTTTGTTCTTAATTATCATTTTCTTAGGTTGCGTAGATAAAGTTAAGTTACGATAATTATGGTACTTAACGGCACTTCTAAATCCAATCCCTGTGGACGATACTCACTCACCCTATACTCAAAACTTGACACCGTATGCTTGCGGAAATAAAATTTATAAAACAAAAATTTACGCATCAAGTTTTTGGCGCCGTTGCCAGGGATTGGCATTTTAAATTGTTGTTAATATTGTGAGTAAATAACTTGATTTTAATTTAGGCTCTTATTTTTCATTTTTAATCTTTTGTTTTATTTTTGTTTTCTTTTGTTTTACGAGGTACTTGGAGATGGTTGATCGACAAGTCCTCTTAAGATTTACTCAACGAGACTCCGAGCCATTTTTTAGCGCTTGGGAGAGATACAAGGAGCAGCTCATTCAGTTCCCCAACCATGGTTTCCCGAGGGAGGTGCAACTACGAATCTTTCTCGACGGGTTAGATGCCGCAACAAGAACGTGGGTGGAAAGAGGAAATGGTACCACCTCTTTGCACCAACTATCTGCAGATGAAGCTTATTGGTGGTTGGAAGACATGGCCAATGTTCACTATCGGTATCGGAGGTATTCAACAAACCACCACGGTTTTAAGGACAGCTCCAACATTTTGGAGCCATGGCTTGACACCCCCCATCACCAAGCGGAGTCTTCTACCTCATTTGAAGACCTTGTCGCCCAATTTTTGGAGGAGACAAGACTCCGCATAGAGAAGTTAGAGAGGATGGAGGCGCTCGACCAACTTCATGAGGAAATGGAGACAACTCCAACGGAGTTGTTTAGGTTGATGCTGCTTCCAGATGAATCTACTAACGCCATGAATAGAGAACCACAAGAGGAGGAATGGGCGTTATTTAAAGATGACTCTTTGAGAGAGGAGGAGATTCAAGAATTGGTTAGTGAAGAATTTCAAGAAGATGTCAATGAGTCTCAATCCCTCGAGATCCTCATTGTCGTGCCACCCCCGGTTGAGAAAGATCACATCTATGAAGACCCAATGTGGCCGGCAACTCCCCCACCATCTCGAGCGTCATTCTTCCACGCCAACCAAACGCATATGCCGGCGCCGAGTCGAGTTAAGCAAATGAGCCAAAAACCGCCAAATCTCGCCAAACTTGAGGGTGTAAAGAATCAAGACCTGTACATTGTGTTGTATGACACGTACTATGGGTGAAAGCCACTCTTTGATGAGTTGGCTCGGCATAGGAATAATTGAGCCTAAAGACGCAATTTATGGAGGAGAACCCCGCCCCAACCCGAGTTTATGCTATCATGCCCGGTGCATCATTGCCAACCATGCTAGGAGGCGAGATTGTCTCGCCTCCCTGGTACGTGCTCTTATTCCCTTGTTCTTAATTTTAATGATTATTTGATTTTGAGTTTGGGGGTGAGACACTTTGTGGTTGATTTTAGTGGATTTTGGGCATTACTTGTGAGTTGGTTGTTATGACTTGTCTCCATTGAGTTGTGTTCTTTTGGTCATGTTTTTACTCGCTTTTCTTTTTGGTTGTTTGAATAAATTATGAGTTTTGTTGAGATCAAATGACTAGATAATAATGATGAGTATAGTCACTTGATGCTTTCTTAGGTCTTTTGAAATGTATTTCATTGAGATTTCTGTGTGCTTGACTCCCATTGATTGAAATTCACTCTTGATTCTCGACTTTTAAGCACCATGAATCATGATCACTTGATCTTTCGTGTATTTGGAGAACATTTATGTGTATTAGGTAGACTTTGATATCTTATGAACACTAGAACCCATTTGAGTGAAACTTGAGGCGAAATTGTTGGTTTAGTATCATTGTAGAGAAAATTAAGGCATTTTATTCAGATCGATTGGGCCTTTGAAGCTAACCCTTGAAAAGAAAATTCATCATTTGTTTACCCCCTTTGAGCCATATTACTTATTTCGTTCATCACCCATGTTTGTACATCCAAACCACCAAATGCGTTTTCACTTCCTAAACCCATCACTACTAGGCATGATTGCATTAAACGCTAAGATTGAGAGCAAGTGTGGGTTATGTTTGGGAAATCATTAGTGGATTGGCTTGTGTTGTTTTTTATTATCAATTAAAAAAAATGAAAAAAATGAAAAAAATAATAATAAGAGTCAATCGGATGAGGAATTGAGTTACCATTTCAATTTCTTTACAACATTGGGGACAATGTTGATTTTGAGTTTGGGGGTGTGGTCTTTATTTCTCAAATTTTTGTGGTTTTTATTTCTTTTTTGGGTTCGATTGAAAGTGAATGTATGATGAAATGAAGAGTTGGTAAAATATATTTTTTTTCTTTCTTGGGAATCATGTGAGATCCATGAGTTGTGATATATGCCTAGGCTGATTTGAGCCTAAAAAAAACTCTAATCTCATCCACCTTTTACCCTAGCCATACATTACAACCCTCAAAAGTCCTTTTGATCTTCAATGACAAGTGAACCTTTATTAGTGGAAAGTGACACGAAAAATGGGCCTATGGTAGTTATTATTCAGATATCACTCATAGTCTCCTTGGCACAATCCTTATTCAGATAACACATGGGACGTGAGTACCGTCAAGTGCTCCAACACAATCCTTCACATTTACAAGAGTTTTGTAGGTTATATTATATAAGGTAATAATTTTTAGAAAGCATTATAAATTGCATTAAAATTTAGATGTGCCTAATTAATGTAGAATATCGAACTTACATCGAACCACAGTGAGTATTTGTTTCCACTAGCAAGTATGTGCGGGTGAACGGTTTGAAAATCTGGATGTCTAATGAAGTCCTTCTTTAATGTGCATACCGCCTCAAGAACTTTGGTGAAGTACTCTGACACCGTTGATCCAGATCGCTGCCAATGGTCCTGCGCCTCCCTGTTAGTTTAGTTCTGACATAATAT